GTCCAGTCGGAAGTGCACGGCGTTCACCGTACCAGGGCGGCCTTTATACCAGACGACTTGGTTGTCTTCGCTGCAGATTTTGATACCCACTTAGAATACCTGCGTAAAGCCGCCGAATGTCTGAAAAATGCGAATCTCACAATAGGGTTACAGAAATCGAAATTTTGTTTCAAAACGTTGAAATACCTGGGATTTATCGGGTGGGGGCGATACAGCGCATACAGGTCCAAAAAGGAGGTTCGAGCCTTCTTCGGAACCGCCGGGTGGAATAGGCCATTTATGAAAGACTTCGCCACCTTAACAGCTCCGCTTATTGAGGCACTGAAAAAGCGATCTGGAGGCCGTTTCTCACTCAGTGGCGAAGCCGTTGCAGCATTTGAGGCATTGAAAAAGGTGCTCACATCTGCGCGAGTGCTAGTACACGCGAATTTTTCACGCACATTTTTCGTTCAGTGTGACGCATCTCATATTGGTGTCGGAGCCGAGAGACCCATTGAGTTCTTCTCTGCTGATGCATTTGAAAAAGTGAATAAATATGAAAACCCCAATAATTCAAGCTCCAACACAAATTTCTTTTATAGAAGTTATAGAATTTGAAGGTGTTTGGTGGAAAAATTCGGCTTTTTCACATAAACTTTGGATCTTGATTTCCCCCACTTGGAGCTCGAATTTACGAAAATCCTTTCTTAGTGCTTACCTACACTATGATGGGATACTTGATACAAATTTCAGCATCCTAGCTCTTACCGTTTGGGCTGTGGGGTGTTGATTGATTCAAATTTTGCACGGGAAAACATCCCGTAAATGTAAATTAAAGTATGCAGTGTTTTTTGAATTCTTTTATAGATGACACAAGCCAAGTTTAAAGCCAATCAAACGAAAAATGGTTATTTTTCATACAATCTTTTGAGTCCGTTTTCCCCCCTTTGGCATTCCATATTTCCAAAATCGCTTCTTAATGCTCACCTAAACTATAAAAGAGAACTTTTGTCCAAATTTCAGCTTCCTAGCTCTTACCGTTTGGGCTGTGCGTTGATTGCACATAGCTTTTCGTGTCCCGATATTTCCAGTTTGTATTCTTTATGAGAGTATACAAACTAAGTTTAAAGGTAATCAGATGCAAATTGTAGCTTTTTCATACAAATGTTGGAGCCCGTTTTCCCACCTTTAGAGTATGAATAATCCAAAATCCTTTTTAGTGCTCACTTTCACTATGAGAGGGATCTTGTGTCTAAATTTCAGTTTCCTAACTCTTACCGTTTGGGCTATGCGTTGATTGACAATCAGTCAGTCACTCAGTCAGGACAAACTGTTTTATATATATAGAGATAAATATGCAAATATATATACATATATGAATATGCAAATGTACCTACCGGATGTCTAAAGCTCCGAATTGTTCAATGGTGTAGGAAGAAGAAAGGTAGAATGGTGTGTACCTTGGCAGCAGCAACACCGGCGCAACATTGACGACATCCCAATAAGCGGCAGCGCTAGCTGCATCGTAGTAGCTCCAATAACGGCAGCACTAGCATCGTTAACCGTGGCAGCCGCAGCAAAGACTGGGCGCCTTGCATAGAAAGTAACAGTTTAAGTAACAATTCAACAACTTCATAAAGATGTAAAGGAAGATTGTCGATTGCAGTAGCGCGCAAAATCTATATATATAAAACAGTTTGTCCTGACTGACTGAATGATTGGTGATCAACGCACAGCCCAAACGGTAAAGGCTAGGAAGCTGAAATTTGGACTCATAGTCTAGGTCCCCACTAAGAAGGGAATTTGGAAAACTCGAGCTCCAAAGGGGGGAAAACAGGCTCCAACGTTTTTATGAAAAATCTACAGTTTTCATCTGATTAACTTTAAACTTAGTTTGTATACTCCAATTCCAATTCCAAGAAAAACTGTATACTGGTTTTTTGATATTTTTTTTGCGGCCTAAAATATGGGAGTTTTCCTGTAAAAAAAATGTGGGGGCACAAAAGCAAACCGCGCCAACAGCCCACAGCCCACACGGTAAAAGCTAGGATGCTGAAATTTGGGCTCAAGTATCCTATCATGGTGTAGATGCGCACTAAGAAGGGATTTTGGAAAATTCGAGCTCCAAAGGGGGGAAAACGAGCTCCAAAGTTTGTTTGAAAAATCCGCATTTTTCAACCGATCGACTTAAAACTTAGTTTCTAAAATCAATTAAAGAATGCAAAGAAAACTGCATACTCGGTTTTTTAAATTTTTTGTTGGAGCTTGAATTATTGGGGTTTTCTTGGGGCACAAAAGGAAACCGCGTCAACAGCCCACAGCCCAAACGGTAAAAGCTAGGATGCTGAAATTTGGGCTCAAGTATCCTATCATGGTGTAGATGCGCACTAAGAAGGGATTTTGGAAAATTCGAGCTCCAAAGGGGGGAAAACGAGCTCCAAAGTTTGTTTGAAAAATCCGCATTTTTCAACCGATCGACTTAAAACTTAGTTTCTAAAATCAATTAAAGAATGCAAAGAAAACTGCATACTCGGTTTTTTAAATTTTTTGTTGGAGCTTGAATTATTGGGGTTTTCTTGGGGCACAAAAGGAAACCGCGTCAACAGCCCACAGCCCAAACGGTAAAAGCTAGGATGCTGAAATTTGGGCTCAAGTATCCTATCATGGTGTAGATGCGCACTAAGAAGGGATTTTGGAAAATTCGAGCTCCAAAGGGGGGAAAACGAGCTCCAAAGTTTGTTTGAAAAATCCGCATTTTTCAACCGATCGACTTAAAACTTAGTTTCTAAAATCAATTAAAGAATGCAAAGAAAACTGCATACTCGGTTTTTTAAATTTTTTGTTGGAGCTTGAATTATTGGGGTTTTCTTGGGGCACAAAAGGAAACCGCGTCAACAGCCCACAGCCCAAACGGTAAAAGCTAGGATGCTGAAATTTGGGCTCAAGTATCCTATCATGGTGTAGATGCGCACTAAGAAGGGATTTTGGAAAATTCGAGCTCCAAAGGGGGGAAAACGAGCTCCAAAGTTTGTTTGAAAAATCCGCATTTTTCAACCGATCGACTTAAAACTTAGTTTCTAAAATCAATTAAAGGATACAAACAAAACTGCATACTCGGATTTTCGAAATTTGTGTTGGAGCTTGAATTATTGGGGTTTTAATATTTATTCACTATTTCAAATGAAAAGTTTTTGTTATAAATTTAGTCCGATCGATTTAAAATTTGGATAATGTAATCTACGTAACTAAATCTACAACTTTGCATTCAAGGATTTTCAAAATATGCATTTTACAAAAGCAGGCAGAACAAACAATACCAAATATCAAACAGTTGGGGACAACTAAGTATACATATACACACATACAAACAGCTGTTCGTGTAGTTGCGTGCAAACGATTGAAATAGCCAAAGCAACATGTGAGACACTAATGTGTGAATGTCCATAGATACATATGTATGTGCACATCTATGTATGTACATATGTATCTACATATGTATGTATGTACATTCGTCTTGCACTGACAGAGCAAGAAATGTTAATTAATTGAAAATTATATAATATAACATTTTTAAAAGTAATTTTTTCTTTGTTTAGTGCATTTGGCATTAGTGTTTTCATTAATAACTTTATGCAGCAACAACAAATATCAAATAGTTGGGGACATCACATACACACACTCACACACAACAAGCAACAGTTCGTGTCTATGTGTGCGGTTCTCTACATACGGTTGAAAAAGTAAAGAGAAACATACATATGTACATATGTATGTATGCCTGTGTATGAATATAGCATGTATGTACATTCGTATTAATGTATACATTGGGCAATCGAACACAGTTGTTTGATTGTAAAAAAAAATAATGCTCTAAAAACAACAACAACTGCAAGTCATTAGCTCGCTCTTCTTCTTTCGTTTTGACCATTTAAATATTCTGCTTATTGCATTCAAACTTCGATATTTTGATGGTATCGGTGCCAGTGCTTTTTGATCGTGGCTCATCGCTGCACGGCATTGACACGAGTGCCGTGTTTCATATTCCGAGTTTGTGCGTGGCGTATTGACTCAATATGGCACGAAAAGACTCAAATGTGAATTTAAATTTGGACTCAAGTATCGTTTCATAGTATCCATCATAGTGTAGGAGCACACTAAGAAAGGCTTTTGGAAAATTCTAGCTCCAACGGGGGGAAAACGAGCTTTAAAAAATATTAGTTATAGTGGTCATGTTCGTTTAACGAAATAGTTTGTCAAGAACAAAAATGTAACGGGCTACTGAACAATTTTTTGTCAAGAACAGAAAATGTTCATTTAAATACCTTGAATGCCTTCCTACTGGTAACCTTTAAGGTGAAAACATATGGGTAGGTTATGCACACGCAAAATAAATACAATTGGAAACATATTGAGCCGGGTTAAGACGGGCAATACCTGCTAGTCATTTATATATACTTGTAGAAATTGCGCCCATGACCGTCGATAGCTCTAGTTAGGGTTTTGTTTGAAATATTTATATAATTTTTATTCTCCCACATACACATATACATATGTATATATGTATATGTATTTATTTAATATATACATACATGTGGACGCACATAAAGAACCGCATTGGCCGTTGGCAAGCCTTCTTTGTTTCGTTTCGTATTAAATTATTTTCACTGTTTACATTTTTTATTTCACACTCAATCACATTAAAGTATATGTATGTTTATAGCCACGTAATTGAAAATTAATTAATTTTTTTTATGGCCGCACTGTCCATAATGACACACATTTCCGTAGAGTCTTTTTATGTAAGTTATTTTGGGTTTGTTTATCTTTTTGAATTATGATTTGTATATTGCACGTCAAATTAATTGTAGTGATGGCGTTTTGTTTGTAATCGATGGAGAAACCGTGTTATCGGTTATTGTGCGACTGACGCGGGCATTGGGTTGCAACCACACACCCAAGGAGAAGTTTCGATGAACCAACGAATTACTATTTACGAACAAAATCCAATGGATAAATTATTAGTGACCCCACAGATATTGATCCCATAAAAAATAAAAACAAAAAAACAAAAACAACAAAATTGCAATTAATCAAAAAAGATCGATGCTATAAACTATTAAACTCTAATTCTCATGGTCTAGCATCGAGTGTTTCCCACCTCTAATACATGCAACATTTTCGCTGTTAAGTTGTATTGATTATAATAATTTACAGGACCTTAATTACAGGTTTTAGTCATGAATTTAAAATACAAAAAGAAGTATAATCGATTAAAACGCTGTGTTAAAAACTGTGTTGTGGTAAGTGGGACTACTGGGTCTAGGCATACATATGTATGTAGCTGTTTGTAAATAAACTTTCTCCACCACAGCAAAAATGTTGCTATTAGTCTCCCACCGTATTGTTGTGGGCGATTTATAATTTGTAAAAATGTGTTAATAATAAGTTCATGTTTACTTACAGGAGAACTCTTCTGTTGGCGATGTGCTGTGTTTCTTACAAGCCGAACTTGCTGCAGGACGCGAGGAAAGGATGTATTTAATTGAGAGGCTAATGTTTCATGAAGGGTTGGAAAGAAACCCTCTTCCTCGTAATAACTTTATGGGTGACGGTGATGAAGCTTTATTTAAAAAGAAAATTGGGACAAGAAATAAAAGTACAACATTAATGCAGAAAAAGAAAAATTCAATGTTCCCAATTAATTTAAACAATCTTCTTGTACACTCGCTGGGCGAAATAATACCAGTAAACCCTAATTTTCATTGTGCATACTGGATATATCCTGTTGGATACGTTGCAACTCGAATATATGCGCATCCCAAAGATCCACGGAAAAAATGTGTTTTTACATGCAAAATTCTTAACAATGCTGGAATACCACAGTTTCAAATTATTCCTGATAACGATTTAGACAGTGTATTTTTTGGTGAAACTGCAAGTGCTTGTCATGAAGGACTTTTAAAAGCAATTCAACAATCTTTGAAAGATTCAGTTAAATTGAGTTTTGATGTAAAGGGTGAATTGTTTTTCGGACTATCAAATATAAAGATTCAATCACTTATTAAGGGTGACCCTGGATTCAAATTTTGTGCTAACTTTAGAGGCTTTGATATACATAGAGAAACCAATTTGTTTGAAGATCAAGATCCATCATTATGCTTTGAAGCATTGCAATTATTAATAAACAATTCCCTTAGAGCTAAAGAGAAGTGATTTAATAAAAAAATGCATAAATAAAAAATAATACATACAGATAAATGCAAAACTTTATTTTAAAAATATGAAAAGTAAAAAATAAAAATTCTTTTTAAAATAAATTAGTTAACTCCAACGAAATTAAGTTGGTGCAGTAAATAATTAAATTTAGAATTTAAGGTTATTAATTAACACGCTTTTATTATCGAATACTACATTTTCGGTCATACTCGAGTATTTACCCATACTCGGCTCGGTATGATTTTTTCATTTGGGTATAGTTACAAGCAATGACTGGTTGCGAACGAGCCCTCAACGAACACTTAATTCGAATCAAAACTGCAAAAACTCAGAAGTGACCGGTTGTGACCGAAACTTCTTGCATGAATTCAAGCAATGATTGGTTTTAAACGAACCCTCACCAACCAGTCAGTTCGACTCACAGCTGCAAAAACTCAGAAGTGAGCGGTTGTGCCCGAAATTTCTTGCATGAATGCAAGCAATGACCGGTTGTGAACGAACGCTCGCCAACCAGCCAGTTTGACTCACAACTGCAAAGACTCAGAATAAGCGGCGGTGACCGAAACTTTTTGCCTGCGTGCAAGAAATGATCGAACGTCGTATTTACAATCATGCCGGCATGACCGAAATGACCACTGATATCGGCGGGTGCACGTGCACTTGCATTTTCGATTGTTTTTTCGGCTATTAGTTCAATAGTAACTTCGTATACAAGTATGTAAATGCATATAAATTAAAGAAGCCAACAAAACTATTAGCGAAAAGAAATACCTTCCTTTTTATATAAATTAAAAAAAGTTATGATATTTTAATTTATATTACAAGTAATTTGCTTTGTTTTTTTAAGATACATAAATATGTACATACATGCATATTTTATACGGTCATACTCGGTTAAAACCCGCGCAATACTCGAGACATACTCGGGTAAAACATGCGCAATACTCGAGTAATACCCGAGTATAGCTCGCGCAATACCCAAACAAAACTGGAGCAAAAACGGCACTATACTCGTTCGATCGAACGCTCATTCTGCAAAGTCTGGTTTGCTTCGATCAGGGCCCAGTCATCTTAAACGAAATCACCGAGCCTGAAGTGTTTGAAAGCAAACCAATCAAGGCTGGTACCCGTTCGCAACGAATAGAATACTCGAAGTGACCGAGCCTGAACTGTTTGAAAGCAAACGAAAGATTGCTCATGCAAGTTCGATCATAAGAGAAATGCTGAGAGTATTCAACTTGTTCGAGCTCGTTTGCAGCCAAGCAAAGATGTGATTTGATTGATTTTTCAGCAAGGGTGGTCGAACATACTCGATGGTGAGGGTTCGTTTAAAACCAACCATTGCTTGTCACCATGGCTGTAGGGGGTGCAAAGCGGGCAGCTGCCCGATACTATAAATTGATTTTAAAACTGAGAGCAGCACCCATTAGAAAAATTACGTATTTTTCTCTCCGTTTGCACGCCTCTTTATTTTTTTTGCCGTCGGTATTATTTATCTAGATTTCAATAAATTTAAAGTATGTACACGTATGTATATACGAGTATATAAAAATTTATCGTTTATGTAAGAAAACATAATCTCAAATTGTTCAATTTTACACTCTCGATGTCGTGCGGGACCAACTTTATATTAGTTCTACGATCACAAATTTAAAAATTTTTTGTTTTCAAATTTTCATTAATTTGAATCTCATTTTTTTCGTATTTTTCCATATTTTTCATGTGTATAGTGCAAATAATTTTATAGTAACAGATCAGCCAAAAAAATCTTGCCCCTCCCTTAACTAAATCCTGGCTACGCCCATGCTTGTCACTATACCCAAATGAAATACTCATACCGAGTATGGATACTTGTAAATACTCGAATATGAATGAAAATGTAGTACTCTTTACAGTTGTCTGGTTAACACTTTCAAAGCAACGTGAACCAACTTTCTATGTAGCCTCTCCAAATATACAGGCAACACGAGTTCATGCTATTTTTTGGATTTCCTCCCCCCGCTATAGCATTTCGTCAATCATGTCCACATTTCAAAAGCTACGTGAAGAAAACTTTGCACACGTAGTTTTCATCTAAATATCTAATTGTGTGTGGTTGTGAATGAATAGAATGTCAATGCCTTTCAATTGTCACTTAAGTTTATTATCAGTTTGTGTTAATAGTGGACTGTATTTATCTTGCGCTGTGTGCGTTCGATCGGATCTGCGGTCATGCTAATATGTACTAACGCGTGAAGCGAAAAGGCGAATGTACGGCGAATGCTGTTAAATTTAAATATAAGTGGGTAGTGCTGCAAAGCGTTCCTCAATATCCGGCCCGCCCTGAAACATCGCCTCTGAATGTGGTAACACAGCAATTTTCGTTATAGTTCGTGTCATCTCTCTAGTCGCAGTCTTCAATTTGACGGCTCGAACAAGTCCATCAGCTCCAGGGTATGTTTCGATTACTCGAGCCAATGGCCAAGCGGATGGTGCGGTGTGACAGTCCTTACAAGAACAATATACCCAACCTTTACGTTTAAGGTTTTCGTGGTCCACCTTGGACGCAGTTGTAGCGTAGACAAATACTCTCGATGCCAGCGTTTCCAAAATTTAAGCGATTTTCTGGTACATGATTGATTAGCTTCTTCTATACCTGTAAACGGCCTGCCTATAAGGAAGTGTGCAGGGGACAGGTAATTCGTGTCGGTGTCGGGTGTGTAGCATAGTGGTCGCGAATTAACCACCGCACTGATCTGTGCCAACAGTGTATGCATCTGTTCAAAGGTGAGAACAGCTTTTCCAATAATTCTTCGTAGGTGGAGTTTCACTGAGCGTACTGCGGACTCCCATTTACCACCCCAGTGTGGTGCATGTGGCGGAATGAAATTCCATTTGATGCCTTCGTCTGCCAATGTGCGCGAGACCTTATTTTTGTTTTCTTCTGATGCCAGTAATTATTGCATCTCATCCAGTGTGGTTTTTGCGCCAACAAAGTTCCTACCGTTGTCGCTATAGATTTGGCCACATTTTCCTCGTAGGGATATGAAGCGGCGTAGCTCTGCTATGATTGTGTCAGTGCTTAAATCTGTGACCAGTTCCAGATGAAGCGAGGATGTAACAAGGCATACAAATAGACATATGTAACCCTTCATACGTGGGTTGCGTCCGCGATGTTCTTCAAGAATAATAGGACCAGCGTAGTCACAGCCTGTGTTTTCGAATGGAAGTGCTTGCGTGATTCGAACACCTGGTAGATCGGCCATGTATTGTTGTTGAAGAATTAGTAGTGTGATGCGATGTGATTTTGGTAGCAAGATTGCATGTTTGGAACTCATCGGCAGTTGTGAATTGTCCAATCGTCCGCCAACTCGTAGGAGACCATCCTTGCAAATTATTGGTGATAGTTTTCGTAGCTTTGACTGGTTCCGAAGTGGTTGTTTTTCCAGTATTTGTTGACGATCATCGTCGAAGCATTTTTGCGCGTGCCGTAAGCATAAAATACGTGCTGCTTGAACTTCTTCAAAGGAAAGAGGTCTTGATTTGGAGCGACGGATGAAGCGCAGAACGTATGCAACAATGTGAACCAGCTTCTGCCATGAGGACACCCGTCCTGCAAGCTCATCGAGTGGTGACTTTGTGAGAGTAGTAGTAGACATGGTGACCAAAAATGTTGTTTTCAATTCGTCGTTTGCTTGTATATCTGAAAAAGAAGAACAGACTTGTGCGTTGCGTAACTTTACCATGTATTCTTTCGTATCGTGCAGCCACAATGGTCCATTCCACCAAAGGTCAAAGTTAATTAGATCAGCCGCTAGCATGCCCCTTGATGCACAATCAGCTGGGTTTTCTTTAGAGATGACATGTCGCCAGGCAGTGTGTGGTATGATGTCAAGTATCTCTGAAGTTCTATTGACAACAAACGTTTTTAGTCGTGACGGCGAATGAGCTAGCCATGAAAGTACGATAGTAGAATCGCACCATGCATATACGTTGACCTTGTGGCGTTGTAGTCCGGTCTTGACTGATAGAATGAGGCGGCTCAGCAGTAGCGCTCCACACAACTCAAAGCACGGCAAAGATTGTTGTTTCAGTGGTGCGACCCTTGTTTTCGCAGCACAATTGAAACGGTTGCAGTGCCGTCTCCATGCGTAACTCGACTGTATACGACAGCCGCCTAAGCTTTCGTTGAAGCATCTGAGAAGGAATTTAGCTCGATGTCATCTTCCTTATTGTCAACGAACCGTGGCAGGTTCAGTTGATGAGCAGTTTTAGATCGGTACGGCATTTGATCCACCGGTCTGAAAGTTTTGGCGGGAGCTTGTCATCCAATCCCAAGTCGAGAAGCCATAAATGTTGAAATAATATCTTAAATTGAATGACAATTGGCGCTAGTACGCCCAATGGATCAAAGATCCGTGAGACATCTGATAGCACTTGGCGGTTGGTGCTATCAGCTTCCGTTGCGAGTTGAACATAGTATGATATTGTATCATCTTCTGGTTTCCAATACATTCCCAGTACCTTTACTGTTGCGTTGTGTGATGTATTGGCAATGCTTATAGTTGCTTTGGGCATCGATGTAGATATCTGTTTGGTATTGGATACCCATTTTCCCAACTCCATTTTCGTTTGTGATAGTAGCTGCACGAGTTCATTATGTTTATGAACCAGCTCATCTTCATTCTTGGAACCAGTCAGTACATCGTCGACGTAGAAATCTTCATAGTGTTTGATTGGAGTAGAGGTCTTCTCTCCATACGATTCGTTGATAGTTGCGATGCTTCTGGTTGACCCAAATCTGACGAAACATATTCACAATATCTGCAGAAAAAACAAACTTGTACATTCTGAATCGTAAGCAAACAGCAAATAAGTTTCGTTGTATGTTAGGTCCTGTGTGTAGTTCATCGTTCAATACCAAGCCGTTGGAATCTTGGAATGAACCGTCAAAAACCACTCGCAGTTTCGGACCAATAACAGGATGGTGTGGCATATAGAATGTTTGCCCGGTGTCGATCTCCTCCGGCCGCAGTTCCCGCATTGGGTCAATA